GAGGTGACGGTTCAATTTGTCAAGCTCCTCACACACATCTCTGCTCTCAACAGGTAGGCTTGTTTCTTACAAACGCCTATAACGGATGATTATCGGTTAATCTACGCGGCGCACGTGCGCCGGTGATCATTTAACGCTTCAACAAGTTATCAAACTCCCCTAAAATGATTCCTCCTGTACTCCAGTGTGTAATTTAATCCTTTTAAATCCTAACACTAGTGACATGTCTGACGCTTTTGTGTTTACCGGAGCACTTCAACGGCACCTCTGCTGATGCCGACATCCTCAACTGACCGCAACACCGGAGCGCATCAGGTGCAAATCCGCGTTCATTAGCTCAAACACGCCGAGGCAAACGAACCCCGAGTCTGCGCGCGCTCCTTCTGTCTGCGCTCCTGTGTGTGCGCGAGGGAGCGCATCCTGTCCGAAAATAACAGACCCAGTTTGCTGGAAATGGACCACTGACTCTGAACAGTCAAGTTTTCTAAAATCCCAAATCAGGCACAGGGATAACTTGTCTCGATTTCCACATCTCTTATGGAGCGAATCCGTTTGTAATCTGACCTAAACTGGTTTTATTTACAAAAATATACAAAAAGATATGTAAAACGAACTAGACACTAAAAAGTATTTGAGGGAAATTTTCGATTGAAATAAAATGAGAGAGTCAGGTGACAGAGCTTTTTTCTTACCTCCGTTTTCTAAAGTCCTCCGCTGATTATCCAGGCAACATCATGCTTACACATTTCACAGTACCCGCTCCAAACTCAGTCCTGCTTCAAGTAAGCAAATCATCAGCCTGCCACCAAACGTCAATTTAGCTGAGGGGAGGATACGGGAGTTCCGAGTTGGGCTTTCAAAATAAAATGCCTTTAACCACATGTTGAAGCAGTAACAGGACTAATCCGAAGAGGAAAATCTTGATTTATGAGGCTAAACCTGTAAAAAATGGCAACAATACTTATTATCATGGTTTAAGTTTATGCTACAGGATTGGCTTAAGGGTATCAAATTAGGGGCTAAAATTAAAAACCTGGGAAAAGTTGCAGCCAAATCGTATTTACTGAAAAACAGCTACATCTGCTCTAAACACAAGACAAGCAGACTTGTCTTTTACCTTTATGAACTGATATTTTGCTTCCCAAATGTCCAGTTAATGTCTATTTATCACCTGTCATTTCAGCATTTTTAGGAGGGGTGTCCCAAGATGACATTCATTAGCAGGTTGCTTATCAACAGAGGTGGATTCATATGTGTCCTGATTAACATACCAGAGTATTTAGAGGTTTGTAATGCTAGTATGTGCGGTCTGTGGGCAGACCACCTATTACAGACATTTGGAATCATCTTTCGGGTCAAATATAACTACGCTACGGTTCAAATTTAGCCCAAAAACCTGAGTTTGACACATCTTGGATGGAGTAAAGCAGACTAGTGTAGAGCTGTAAAATTTGTAAATTATAAAAACTTTTTTTTTATTTGAAGACTGGCCTGCATTTCATTTGAATTCAGGACAAGTGTTAGTTTTCAGTCCAGTTTTAAGTCAAACCTTAAAATTCTCTTCACAAACTGAGGGCTCAAATAAGTTTCAGAATAAAAATCTGTTAAAAAGTATAGGTAATTTTAAGCTTTAGTTTTTTTTTTAGATGATGGTTATAACTTGGAACCTTGCCATGACTTAAAATTAGATCATTACAGATTTTAAGGTGTAACAAACATTACTCAGCAGAAAATGTGAAAATGCAGAAGTTGTGTGAAAGAACAAAAAAGAAAAACAGATCTTTATTCATTTTAATATGAATAAACTTCATACGTTGTTTTATTAAAATATTTTTTTTTTCAAGTTTTAGTTTCCTCTAAATTTTTAGATCAATTCAGTAGAACACTGATATTTTTTATTTATTGTCGTCGTACCCAACATGATTGAGAGATGCACCTTGCTGCTACTTTTACATTTCGACCTAGTTTTTGTTAAACTGTGACAGAATAAAACAATAAATGCCATGGTATTCATTTATTTATTAGCTAACTTTAAGCCCTTTTAAGGATCTATGTTCATGCTTGGATAACAATGGACATGATTGTATTTAGTGACGTTTTTCTCTCCAGTAAAAGCCCGTCTCTTGCTTTACTCTGAAGTCGGCCGTCCTGCTTCCTGTGCCAGCGGTTAGCTTGACCGGCTGTGAGAATGTCTGTGAGAACGTCAGGGCTTGTTTCTCCATCACAGTTTCTGTCAGGCGGATCTCCAGGACATCAGAACTGGCAACAGAGTGAGGAAATCCAGAAATCAAAAAGTGACAGGCCTTCTAATCAGTCGCCATCGTCTTGAGATTGTTTATAGCGGAATAATGCACATCAGTTAATGAGTGCTTTAGTCCATCAACAAAAACAAAAGTAACATGCCAGATTTACCACAACAGGTTCGTTTCTAACAGGCTGAGGGTGTGTAATGGATCCGTGTCTCTACGGGGAAATAAAACTTTATGTAGAGTAAACAGGTAAAGAGTGGCTGAAAGTGGATTCCAGGCCGTGTCAGTGTGTTTGTTGACGCTCTGTTGACACAACACAGGTTATGTCACAACAGATACTGAAGGGAAGGAATGCCACGTGAAAATACCAAGGCCCCTACTGGAACATAGTTCTGACATCTGAGCCTGTTTGTATCAAGTTTGTTCCTGCACAAACACATTTTCAAAGAGTAACATTGATTAGTTTAGTTTGCAGCCCAGCGTCTCTCTCTCTCTCTCCCCGAATAAAACATTCTGATAAGTTCTGAGGAGGAAGACAACCTACTTGTTCAGTAACATTTCAGTAAGTAATCCAGGGTGTTTGTCGTGTGGAAGGAGAAATTTGGAGGGGGGAAAAAAAAATACGCCATCACTGCCATCTGCTGTCCAACGCTTGTCACTGCATAAATGCGAGCGTAGAAAATAAAATGGTGAGTGACAGAAATATTAGAAAAGGATTCAGAAGTTAATTTATGTCAGGAAATTCAAACTAATTGCATTCAGTAGTTATATTTCTCAAACATTTCTGTTAGTTCAGATATATTTGGCTTACAGGCAATGAAAAAAAAGAAACGATCAGCTTCTCAAAGAACTAGAATGGCACTTTTAAACATTTTTTTAATACAGAACTGTTAGTACGGCACACAATTATGAGTAGAACTGGTTACTTGCCACTTATCCATCAAACACTCTGGACAGCAAGAATAGACTACAAAATGTCACTGGTAACGGAGCTGGCTGACCACAGGGTCATATGTCAAAGAATATTGATGAAAACTTGAGAGAGGAAAACAATCATCACATTCTGACATCCAGATTCTGGGGGAAGAGGGGAGAGGTCCACAAAGATGATTTGGGGAACCATGTGCTGTGCTGGTGCTGGTCCAGTGTGTTTTATCAAATCCAGGCAGTGCAGTAGTCTACCAGGAAACTTTAGCATATTTTATGCTTCCCTCTGCTGACGAGCTTAACACGGATGCTGAAACCATTTGCCAGCTTGATTTGACAACTTTACTGACCTAAAATTCAAACATAAACTAAGGTATTGCATAACAGGAAGGACACCTTCCAATGATGGAGGCAAGTGAAAACACCTTTATTAAAGTAACCTCAAAGCCACTGGTGATGAACGCCTCCCTACACACTGCATGGATGCTGTAATTCATGCAGAAACAGCTGTGATTAACTGCAGTACATGTAGTGTAGAGTATGAGTTCAAAGCCACGTATTTATATATATGATTTATTTAGTCTGGTGTTCTAAAACCATGATAACAGAAATGTGTATGATGTTTCACTTTTGAATATTCAAAAATTCACATTTTTTTTTTATTGAATCAATTTGCAAAGTTATTAAAGACAACTCTGTCTCTCCATTTGTGCTCTAATATTTTCTACCACACTTTTTTCTTCCACTCACCTTTCCATCAAAACACTTGGATACAGTTCTCTTAACAGCCACAGTTATTCTGTAAATCCTAAACGTTATGAATGCTTGAAAAGTATCACAGTTTGTAATATGAGTATCATTCTCGGACAGAGTGTGAAAATTCAGATTTATTGACACGCATCTGTAAGTAAATAAAAAATAAAATGTAAATACAAATAATGGGCTAGGAGAAAATTGGATTCAGAAACCATTTTTATTTTGTAAATGGGTAATCGCTCAGGCTGTACACTGATGTTTTCTGAGTTTTACCCAATAAAAACAGTTAGGAGCATCCAGAGACGAGAGAGCGAGGTGACGAGGTAACGAGAATGAAACGGGATGAGAAGAGATCTGTACTCCGTTCTTTCTGGACTTTACATTTGATATCTAAAGCTTCATTAAAAAAAACAAACAAAAAAAAAAACACGTCTTGTTCTGCTGTTTCAGGTGGCTCACCTGCTTCCTGCCCAACGGGATTCCTCAACTCATCAGGCAGCTGCTCTGGGTGAGAGATTCTTACTAAAACAAAAAGACGTTTTTTAAGACAAAAAAACAAAAAAAAACAAAAAACAAAAACAAAATCCAAACGGCACATCAGAAAACACGGGCAGGGGAGAAGTAAAAAACTTTGTGTAGTTATGCCAGAAGAAGCTCCCCAGGGAATACACATTGATTCGATATGAGAACAGGTTTCTCCTGTACAGACAGAAGCACGTATCTGTGCCTCATAGTTTATACGTTATGAAGCACTGACTGAGTTCATGCCAAAGCTCAAAACACCTTCCGTCACTACAGCCGGCGATTATATAGCACTGTGACCAGAGACGGACAGTTTTTATACACTACACTTGTTATAATGACCACACTTGATGTGCTTTTTCGTCTAATATTACACCAAATAAAAAAATTAGGCTCCCTCACAACAAAGCTATACAGGTTATCATACAAACTGATGACGAGACAGTCTACTGACACACAGGTACAGTGCACGAGTTCGCAGGCAGGGATGGGGAGGGGAGAGGAGTCAGTCGTTTTTGAACAGTACGAAATGCTTTTTTTTTTTTTAGTTTTTCCTTCTTCTTTAGTGTTTCTGAGCGAATCTCCAGACTTATGGAGCCAGAGCTGTGATCTCCACAGATGTCAAGAAGATAAACCGTCTTCGTCCTCTGGGCAGATATCGTTATTCAGCTGGCGGTCGCGTGACATTCACTTGATTTTTTGGAGGTTTTTTTTGTCCTCCAAACACTTGGCTTTAAGTCAGCTGTTCCGCTGGCGTCTCGCATCTCATCTTCAGGACGTTCCCTTTTTTTTTTTTTTCGTTAAATGCATGGTATCGTGAATATTTAACAGCACTATTATAAGGCAGTGACAGAATAAGTTTGACAAATTGGTCCATATCTGATATGATCATGCACACTGTTGCATCGTAGAATATCTCCCTCCTGCAGCTGCAGCCTTTTTTTTCATTATTTACCAAAACAAATACTTTGCCTTGCAAAAGTTACAATCCCTGATTTTTTTTTTCATATTTTGATACAAATGTTGACGGATTTTATTAGTTTTTGATACTGATTAACACAAAGGTGCACATAATTGTGAAAAGCACAAGTTACAACATATATGGCCAATTTTCTTTCCCCCCCAGGGGCCAAAACTGTTGTCACTATGTGTAGAAACAATAGAGCTATACCTAAACGACTGCAGTGAAATATGATCAAACACAATTTATGAATCAAGGATGGTTGAATACAAATAACTGCCATACAGTTTTGGATTTAGAAAAAAAAAAATTGAGCATCATGAATCTGTTTTAAGATCGTGGTCGTAACAAAATGTGAAAAAGTTCAGGCTTGTGAACACTTTTGCAAGTCACCGCACGTCTAAACGCTTTAGTCGGGTCTCGGTTTTTCGATCGACGCCAGCGTTAAAAATCCCTGTAACAGACACAGTGAAAACTTTACAACCACTTGCAGGTCAGACATGCAGAACAAGCTACTTGGAGACTATCCCACAAAAAGTCAAATAATAATAATTAAAAAAAACAAGTTTAAGTTTTGCACAATAGAACAATAAAATAAGAAAAATAATTTCTATTTATATAGTCATTTTCTCTTACATTTATATTTCTCATAATATTCCAGTATTCGTGAGTAGCTGGCAAAACTACGCACGTTTTATTTATTTATTTTTTAAAGTTTCACACACTTACGAGGCGGTCCTTTAGTAAAAGCAGAAGTGTCCGGACTGGTTACGTAAAAATGAGAATTAAAAATAAATAAATCTCTTATGATCTAAAGATAAACTCTGCAGGGTGTGGTAAACATTTAATAAACGAAAGCAGTCAGAGTGCGCGCTAACCGATCCACGGAGGTGTGTGGTGTTAAATGCGTTAAGGGCACTAAAAACAAAAGCTTTTCCTGTCACTGCTGCTCTAAAGCGTGACTGGGCGGCGGAGGGGGAGGAGGGGTTTTTGCGTTTCCCAGTTGGCCCATCATACTTTGCTCTCTGTCGTGTTTGTCTGTATGACACTGTTGTGTGCCGAAGTGATCAGGGGGTTTGGTAGGTCTCCCTCCTCCAGTTTGCTTTTCTCATCAGCAAATATCTTCCTGCAGTGGAAAAGGAGACAAAGTTTAAAATTAGAAATGTTAGCGTGTGCGTGGTAAAGTAGGAAAAAAAGAAAAAAAAGAAGGAAATCCCAGCAAACAAAACGGGTTTCTAGAAACAAACAATACCCAATATGTAAGACGACGCTGCAGTTAAGACGTCTTCTTACATATTTCTTCACCACCTTGACACGGTCGGATAAAATAAACAGATAATGACATTCCCACATCCCAAACTGACTCTCTTCCCTAAAACCAAACGTTGAGCAAATGTGTGATAATAATAATCAGCTTGGTTTTGTTTAACTTCTGAGCATTATTAATAGAAGAATAAATGCGCCCCAGGTTTGTTACAGAATGTCCCAGTTCCATTTGAAGCCCGTTTTTCCAGATTTTTCCTGCAGCAGCTCACAGGAACAAACACCAGTTGGAATCTCTCAATACCTCTGGATAAAAGTTTGAGGAAATGCTTGAAGTTATGGAGTTAAAGCCTGAACTGATGCATCTTATTATTATGACTAGAAAGGTGTTTCAAAAATAATATAGATCATATTGCTATTCAAGTGATGGTTTCTATGCAGATGACCTCAGGTTGTTAAGAGACCACTTTACTTTTGAAGACATTACTTTTT